AACTATTGATGGAATTCGAAGGTCACTTCAGTCATTACATGATAATATACACGACCTACTATGCAAATCACAAATTCGCATCAGACCATCGGATAGTCGCCTCACAGTACCTGATGTCTAAATTCTAGCTTCTATACCGGCCATATCGTGTCTTATAATAGCTCTTGCAACTATATAGGTATACCTATGCTTGTCCCTCACGCACAATAAATAATAATAATAGTATATTATATTATTATATTATACAAGTCGATGACGAGTTGGACATACATTTATGTATAGAGGTACCTACATTATTATAATATGTTCAGTAGTGCAATATTACCACACACGGAGAAAGAATTTCCAGCGACGTTGTACCACATCACGCATAATAATACCAATACTGGCGTGTATGCATATACAGAGAGGATCTGGATGTATAGGTACCTCTACCTACGTATAATAATACGCATGTATTATATATTATATGTTATATAATACATGTATATGTAGCGCGAACACCGCGCACACAATAAGGGGGTAGTGTGGCGAAAAAAAAAACAATCCCGAGAAGTTTTCCGTTTTTTGCCCTCTCTCCGCGTGCTGCATGTATACATTTGCTGTGCAGTATAATACATATAACTACAATAATAACATACACACACACACACATATATAGTATCATATATATATATGTCTGTTATATATACTTATAACAATGCCCACGACTATGTACACAATATTATTATTATTACATACACACAGACACACACACGTAGGTAATAATAAAAGGATCATCGGCTATCGCGCGTGTATTGTATGCAAGCGGGAAGCGACAGCCCGCGAAAACGTCGGCCGGTTGTATACACAAAACCGCGCTGACGGATGGATGGACGGACACGGACGGACGGAAAAGGCGCGCGAGCACAAACACGAGGTTTTTACACGTAGGTACGTATTATTATTATTATAATATATATATATATGTATAGTGTCGGTGTATCGGTCGCATGATATTATATTGTTCGGGGGCAGATGCAACCGATACGACGTGTAGCTGAGCCCTCTTTAAAATAACATCGAAAGAGAGCTTATATGCGTATACCCATATGGGAAATCGCGGAGGGTATACATGATATGATATATACATATATATGCGCGGGGTATTGGCCAACTCGAGGCCGATCTCCTGTATACAATATATGATATTACCAAGTATGTATTTAGGTAGGTACCTATAACGTCGAAAAACAGGGTCTCGTCAAATCGTCAACTCCGCTCGGTTTCTCACAATAATAATGATATACCTACACCGCACAACAACGCGACAAACGCGTCGGTTATAGTCCGTATTATTATCACTATATAATAGGTAACCGATTTACTATGACATATGGTAGTTTTATATTGTATATAGGTACACAGCAGAATTGCAGAATATATATAATATATATGTCAACACCCGTCATATTATTAAATGAATAATTTCAAAGGTGGGCATTAACTATATACTTTGTTAATTTTATAATTTTATATAACTAAATAACTATTAATGATGGTTATATAGTGAAGCCACTGTAACAACTATAGTATTATATTAATATAGAATTTTACAATTAATAATTCGAAGGAAAATATTACGTTAGGTTAAAACCAGGTTCATACATAATTTATAGGTAGGTACTAGGTAGGTACCTAATCTATATATTCCTGCATTGGTTAAAAACTAATTTATTAATTATATTTTATTTGTTTAATCACTTTGTATCGGCTTAATGATTTAACAAAATTTTCGGTCTACATATAAATGTGTAAGATATACGTCTTGTAATTCGACCAAGATCATGTCGGAGTATGGTAATAATTATATATTAATAAATACATCTGTAAAAGTATACCACCTATCTATATATTATGCACATAAATATACCTACCTACCACAAACATAAATGTCTTATTTGGGGGTCTTATGAGTATATGGAGTGCTATCGGGATATAGTAACGTCTAGGTGATTTTGTAATGTAGTACTAGGTATTGTACTCAAATATATTATATTATGTATAAAATATACTCATTATACAGGTACATTTTTATTCGATCCGCTCATAGATACGCGTGTTGTTAACGCGCGCGAGCATCTCATCGACACGAACGATAGTTTAATAAAATAGTCGTATCGTATATATTATAATAGATTCTCAACATTTAAAAAGTCGACGGGCACGCGACTTTTTAAATACTGATGATAATAATATATATATATATATATGTGGTATCAGCCTGTACAGACCATATTTATATATATATATATAATATATATGTGATATGAACATTGAACATCGATTGTTTTTATTGAGCCCACATTTACATTTACACATACAGTATACATATAAATACTCATACACGCGAATTTTCCCCCTTTTGTATTTTCCTAAAAATACACGTACATATATAATAATATGTATTATAATATATACGCATATACAGAAAAACCGAAACGTATAGAGTGTAATAAAAACCGAAACGACGGCATTGTGTACAGGGGGTTTTTATGGTTGCGGATCACGGATTCACGACTACGACGACTACGACGACGAGGCGCGTGCGAGTGAGAAAGAGAAAACAGCCGCGGCGGCGGATATATATTGTATTATATATTATTATTATTATTATTATTCGCTGCCGGGCGCCATTTTGTCCCGAGCCGCTCGTCGTCGAGGGTCTCCGTCCGAATTGATTGCGCGCGCGTTTACGCTCGTCGTATAATATAATACAAGTACCATTATGTCTTCCACTCGTCCACTGTTCAGTTTTTATCACGGTTATCCGTATATTATTATACGTTTATACTAGTTAATAACCGCGGTTTTTCTATAATAATACTATGTGATTACCGTAATTCGGTTATAATATTATGTAGGTACATAATAGTGTATTATCATGTACCTAATGGTGGAATTGTAGAATACTAGAATAGGTACAAATAAATGATGTAACAATACCACTGCGGCTGCAGTAGTTGTATACTATAGAACTGCCTAGACACCTATATTATATATATTACGTTCCGTTGCAATGTAGCATATATTTATTAATATATACCTTCTAAACAAAACAGCGGACAAGTAAATGAAAAAAATTTGGTTGATTTAGTTAAGTTAACGTTCAGAATATTAAGTTGTAGGTTAATAGTTAGGTACAAAATATTATATTTAATTCTAAATGTTGAATGCTAATGCGGAAATTAATATTATCTATAATAATCTAGTAACTGAATATTATTTATTTAACTCAGTTAAATAAAAATTAAGTATTTTTATTTTTATTACCGTTAGCTGACACTATATTGTATAGGGATTCTGCAACTTTAAACTTTCATTTTTTTTAAACCTATAACCATTTATATATAGTTGAAATGCAGTCATTAAACAATAATTATACCTTCTTATTCCGGAACACTGTAAAGTGATTTAAGAAATTTATATGTATTGGTATATGTTAAATAATTTACAAGAAATATTACTGTAATTGTTACTTTAATATAATTTAAAATCATATTTGAGAGCGTGACAAAAAACATTTTTACTACAGCTATATAATTTTATACAAACGTCGTAATTAAATTTAATTAGAAAATGAACAACTAGTTTGGTAAAAAAAAGTTTTAAAAAAGCATCTTCAGTACATTATATCAGGTACAAAAGTTCGGCAAAAATATCAAGGGCTGGCAACAGTTACGAAGATTAAGCTACTGATTAAACTATGGCTGATCAGATTTTGTATCTATAAAATATAAGCTACCTAAATCAAGCTGAAAGCTAATGAATTTCACGTATGATAATTATTAATTGATAATAATAATATAATACATACTGTTAAAAAATGTGGAAACGCATTAATTATACTGTTTGCATATCTGTATATATATATATATATACGGAAATAACAGATAACTGCAGTCCTACTCATTTATTAGGTAAGATATTTAATCGCCTCATTAATTATATCATATTATTATTGTTTATCGTTAATCTGTCCTAATTATAGTCTAATGAACACTCTGTATATTCAAAATAGGCATATCGATGTCCATTACATTTTTCTATAAACATGGTATAATGTGATGTGTTCCTACCTATATATTTACTATACTCTATATGAATTAATTAAGTACAAAAAAAAAAAAATGAAAATACGAAAACGGCTGTGTTGTATTGTAATACACGACGAGGGTTTCTTTTTTTAACCAATTCTTTTTGTACGAGGCATTTTTTGGCCGCGCGCCAATAACATAATGCATAATATATATTATATTATATTTATAAGGTATATATATATACGTTCCGATGTAATGCTACCATTTTTGGCACGCGCACGGTACTATATGCATCTCCGCGCATAATAACATAACTGCACCATAGAGGTATATATGTATACATATATTATATAGAGGTGGCGTACAAACACCTAATATATAGGACATATAGGTATTATATTATATGTTAAACTGCGAGGTGCAACGAATGTTTTCTATTTCAAATATTATATACCTTACGCGGTGCGCACTCGTACCCACAGATACGTCATTTACAATTTACTATTTTATTATATAACACAATAATGTCGTATATCCACCCACGAACAATATCCGTCCCCGAAGTGGCGGAGCCCGCAAAACGCGTGAGTTACCGAGTACGAATCGTAGGCGTTTTTTTTTTTTTATTTTATCGCACGCGGCGTCGTATGATATTTATGAAAACAATTTCAATAAAACGATGTCGTAAACGCACGCCCATTATAATACTTTAATAACATTATTGTTGTCCATATGCCGGGTATAAGTTTACGTTTAGGATTTATACGTTTCCTTGCGGGCATTACAATAGTATGAGGAGGCATTATAAATGTCGATTGTGGGAATACAATTGTATACATTAATAGTGATTACGGTTGATTATTTAAACGTATTTTTTTTATAAAAGTATAGGTGCTAGCGATGCGGAAAAAATCTTCTTACCTGTAAAAGTCGGGCTTGCACAGTATCTTGCCGTCCCTGCTGTAGCATTTGTCGGACAACGTGCCGTGACAGTCGGCGCATTTCACGCATTCCGCGTGCCACGCCCTGTCCAGCACGTTCAAAAGGAACTTATCCATAATAGGTTTGTCGCAACCCGCGCAACTCATCATCAGACTGCTGCACCGTCCACCGCCTCTGCCTGGAAACACAGATAAAACGTCGAGAAACGTGTTATAAACGGGTACGTACACATCACAATATCATATCTACAACAGTAGGTACTATTATTGTTGTTATTTTTAATTGTTAAGCGTACAGTGTTCGCCATTATAGTCGCAGTAGTCACATACATGCGTAAAAACAGCCGAGAGCATTTGTGTGATAACAGACACGTGGTTTAAGCATATCACCGGTATAAATAAGATTATTTTCGGACGATATTTTTGGTTTCGAGCGTTTTTCATAATATGGGTTAAAGCCTATATATCTGTTGTAGGTTTTGTATAGAAGTAATAGAGTACCGATAAAATTCTACATAAAACGTTTAGACGATTTACTATAATAAAATAATGATAAAATATGAGTACACGTTATTATGAGTTATTATTGACTAAGACTTTAAGAGCAGATATTAAATAATTATTACCATGCTTTTGAATTGGTTGATAAATAAATAAACCGATGGTATAAAGATAATACGCCGCTACATGGCTGATAGTGTCGGTTTACTGCGATAACGGCGTAATTTATCGTTTATGACCGGACATACAGCGGGGTTATCGGACTGCGAGAGGTTAGTTGATCTAGGAGTAGGGAGAAGACTTTTCGTTTTATGAAGTTTTTGTACTGAACATCCTCTGTACCATATGCTGTGTGAACCCTGCACAACTACCGTATTTGAGACTGTGAGCACTGACTATATAATATTATCAATTATTTAAGTATAATAAAAAAACACTCGTGGAGATTCACGATCGCTCATGACGTGTTCCGATAGATATCGAGGAAAAAAATAAAATACCCGAATTCTACATATACAATATTATAGAATAACGCGTTTACACACGCGACCGGGACACGTTCGTCATGCTCTAATTTCAGATCCGATATATACATATAATAATGTATCGTGGTATTATTTGCGGTTATTTCTGAGAAACAATTTTTGGCGTATATACTCGAGCGCGTGTACATAATGATACATAAGACGTTATGTTTATATATGCTGTACAGTGTGCCGAATATAGTAGACACCGTTTTGTCTAAATAAGATGTGTTATACGAACGGTATAATATCGATCAGCCGAGTCGATGACGGGACGCAATGGTATATGGATCGAACATTGGCGGGAATTTTCCCAGATTTTCGCGGGAAAAAATTTACACACTAAACCCCTCTCGTGCCGTATTTCCACGACGGTCGCACAACGAAAATCTCGGCCTATGATGGATGTTTTGAAATATTATATTATTATATATTTCTGATGGCATTGTTGTATACTGTATAACTATCTGCATCGACGCATCGTATAAGTTATAAACTTATATTATATACTTAACAAACGCCAAACGGTTTTCCTGTGATCGGAGCGTATAGGTAGTCTGTATGCTTACGCGTCGGTTAGGTATTAGGTTCGATTCGAAAAACGATCATTATTATTATAATATATTATTATATTATGTAAAATATAAAATATATTATAAAAACCCCAGAGAAACAATATATAATGTATTGTATAGGTGTCGCTTTTATATATATATATATATATATATATGTACAGTGTATTATAGAATATACGCTGCCGCAGCCAATAATACATGTATATACCTATACCTATATAAGACACGGCGTTTTTACGATCGCGTATATAGAAAACCACTGCGACTCGCGACGCCTATTAAACAAACGCGTGTTATAAGAAAACATAATATATAATACTATGTCGGCCATTATAGTAATATCTATAATATTATAGGTATGTTTGTGTTTATGGTAGGTATGTGCACAAATTATTCACTCACACACTCCTGCGCGTGCGCGAAAAGTCTATATTATAGTCACCTCGGGCCATAATGTCCTATTCTGCACACATTGCACACTCGACACTATAACATTATATATAGGTACCTACGTAAACTATACCCATATGCACGCGTACCTATATATTATACCGCGTTTAAATAGCCACTCATACATATTATACTATAATTTAGCTGGTATATACCTCACACAATACCTATACTATTGGTTTTTAAATTTCACACCCGCGTTTTTCAACGTATTCCGGAAATCGTATATTATGATAATTGATAATGGTCGTGTGGTATTAAGCATGAACTATGATTAATATATATAGTTATCATAGTTCATAGTATTAAGTATGTGCGATAACACGTCACTGAGGGCGATTGATTCGCGCCAAATGTCTCAAATATCGTCGCGTTAATACACGCACGCATTATGTAATAAACTGTAATAACGCGTTTTTTGTAAGCCTATGTCGGGTGTATAATTCAGTATTTCAGTGTAGGTACTATTATGTACCAACGACAATAATCTCCCCCTTATTTTTTTACTAAATAGATCATAATATACATTTAGTACTTATGTATACACTTTTTTTAATGATACAATGTTACTATGTAATATACTAATATAGGTTCTGTATAAATGATGAATGATGCGATGTTAATATACATAATGGCACATGCCATCCGCATTCCACCAGAATTTAACAGGTGTAAGTAAAAATGATTAGTAATAATGTAAAATGTAGCAGGTAAGTATATTGATTGGAGTTGATAACATGAAAAATACGTTTTTGTATTTATTGGTGAGTTTATGTGTATTTAATTTTTTTTTTATGTTTATTTCAGTTTATAATAATTTTTTTTACAATATATTGTATATATTAACAAAATGTAGGCAGGTACTAATTATAGTATTGTATTTGTTTGAATATAGAATAACGATATTATTATTTAGTTAGCTATAAGAATTCAAAAATATTATATTTTGTTTGTATCGTCAAATAATGTGCTGCAGACAATATAAGAAATATTATGTATGGTTTAATTGATAGATAGGTTTGAGTTGATACAACCATACACATAGTAAGATACATGATCGTCTATATTATATATTGCAACAGTTTCAAAAAACGTACGATATTTCAGTTACATTTAAATCTACCAAGCGTAATATAGCAAAATGTGTAGGTACAATGTGAATAAAAAAATATGTAAATTAATATTTTAATTTCAAACTGATGTAATAATACCTATATACATAGGCAAAGGTACCTATAATGTATAATATTATGTTATGACTGAACATTTTGGGACGTATAACTTTTGATTTCCTAGCCATCAGTATACGTCATATAACTATTATCTTAATATATATAATTCTACTGTACGTGTGTTTGTAAACGAACTAATTCTAAACGGCTGGACCGATTTTGATGAAATTTTTTGTGTGTGCTTTAGTGGGCTCTAGAATGTTTTGGATTCATAATCGAAACCGGTAGGCCCATTCCGTGGAGGTGCTCAAACGGGGAATGTTGAGATTTATGGTGGATATTTTTGTTTATAAATGGTTGCCATGGGTTCTAAAGCTATTATAATAATAAATATTGGGTGAAATCAGAAATAATTTATAAACAACGTTAATATAACGATTGCCTACCTGATAATATAGGTACTACTGCGAATCAGAATTATTATTATATTCCTGGCAACGGAAAAGTTATAACATACATTTTGCACACCATACATACTGAATATTAAAATATAACGAATCGAACAAAGTTTGAGTCATATATATATATATTTGGTACATTTAACGGGTAACGAAGTACACGGGATCAGCTCGTATTTATATATATATATCGTCACTTTGAGTTTACGTACCTACACTGTATACATAGGTATATAATACATATATATATTGATATTATATACACACACGGCATATACCTATTTCTATTGCCTTTATACCGTAGTCTGCTACCGGTGGTGTGGCGGGGAGGGTTGATGGTATTGTAGTGGTCGAAAAAAAACGCCTGTGCACGCAGGACTGTGACTGTTGTTGTTGTACGCGTCGAGTTATAAGTCGATCATCCGTAACGAAGACGCCACGAGCCCGAGCTACGCGTGCTTCGGCCAGATAGACTATATACCTACGTATTTTTTTTCCTCCATCTATATACATGATGGCATATCGTTACAAGACGTACCGCGCGAGAATGAAAAAACAAACTGTCCGTCGCCATCGTCGGCCGCGATGACCACTATTTTTTGACACCGCACGCTACAAGTCGAGTTACGCACGAGTTGCCGTCGTTAACCCGCCGCCGTCGTCTTGGCCAGCGACAAAAATCAGAAAAACGTATATAGGTACACGCACACAGCATACAGACGAATAATATACGTATAAATATACATACTATATGTGTATAATAAAACGGAAGAAAAAAAACACTCGGAAAATTATCCGTCGTCATGTTACGGTGTGTCTTTTGGAATGCTCAGACTGTATATTATAATATAGCTGGTAATAATAATGCAACGCGTTCGAAGAGAAAAAAAATTGTCTATGATGGGTACACGCGCGAGAGATTCGAATGATGTTCGGCTGCAGCAACCACCGCGCCGAACAAGGAGGGCTCGAGAAATCGCGAAAAAAAATTCAGACGCTAAAAATGAATACTATAGCTGCTTATATAATAATTGGATAATATTATGTATATTATAGAAATTTATTAATATAAATATAGGTGGTAAGTACCTGTATAATAAATAATATAGTTCCCGCGGTTTACCGATATAATGCAATTGTTGAGTGATGGTTATACCTATATTAATGGCCATGTTTTCCTTCTTTATGAGCGAAAAAAATAAATTATAATACCTATCCAACTAATATAGCTATATATACATCATGGTTGAAAAAATACCTTTTATTAGATCATTAATCGTGTAAACGACCTAAAAAAATAAATACAAATACGGGTTTTCTTTTGATGATTTATAGAGGATTTTGCTTTGAATTGTACATCCATAGTTAGGTATAAAATATAGTTAATAATATTATACAAGAAAACTGCATACGTTAAAATATTTAATTTATTGAACAAGCGCAGTGTGAATTGATATGTAGATATTTGTATCTAAATATACAACGTGATCTGCAGTTTAAACAACACGAAACGATTTACGTCCAAATCCATTAAAATGCATACACGCGAGTACCTATACACATTAAATATGAACCAGAAATAAAGTTTTAACGCCAATTTATATAGTTTTGCTAAATATATAGCTATTTTAATGGATGTAAATGTGAAGCAATAAAATTGCTATAAACAGCTGGTAACCCAAAAACTGAATTGATATAAACAGATGACAAAGAGTTTCAAATGCTCTCCGATAAATGATAATATAGTGGTATTATAGGTATAGGTACTCAAATTAAATGTTTTCATTAGGTATACATATATATAATATAATATTCACATACAGATAATTATTTCAATAAATTATGAAATATGTATATATTTTCTCAAAATCGGATCATTGTGAAATTTTGAATATCCCAACAACGCTTTCAGTATAATAGGTAATTGATATCGATTTAAGTTTTTATTTTTAATAATTAATACTTAATAGTATATGTATACACATATTTATAGGTTCGCCTATGCTTCTATATACAATCATCTACAAAATACACCCAATAAAAAACGAAATAAAATGTTGACTCTATATGCCTACAAAACAAATCAAATTTATTTTTAAGTTTATATGCTTCTAAATATATCAAGTTTTATGTGATTTTCAGTTTTGTTTTGTTATATATATAAATATATTTAATATGTAGTAGGTAATATTTACCTAAACGTTACGATAGATATATTTATTATATTAAACACAGTGATCGTTTCTTATTTTGAACAAATTTGTTGTCATTCATGTATGTTTTGAGGCAGTGGCGTCATTTGTGGGATGCAAGGATGTGCAAATGTATCCCATGAATTTTTTAGCACAGTTTGTGTAGATCATTTCATAAAATTATAGTATATACAAAAAATAACAATAATTTTGTAATTATTTTTGATTTGTCACAATATTTTATGGATCGCACCCATACAACATGAACTAGTTCATCGAAACGTTGAATGATCGAAATGAACCGATTGTTATATTACTTTAGACTTTCAATTTTGGTTTTGTATCCCATGAGAAAATGTGAAATGACGCCCCTGTTTTGAGGTACCGTCCTATTGAATTTTCTATAATATGTTTAGATGTAACTAAATTCTATATGCAGTTTTTCTATTTAATAATAATCGGATTTTGATTAGTAAATGCTTTTGTGGACCTATTTTAGAGCCCCGACTACCGGACTTAGTCTTCTTTCAATTATTAAAGCTTAGATTCAGGTGATTTGGGGTTGAAATTAAGATCCTATTTCGTATGTACCTACATGTAGTATTATACGTAGTATATAATATACTTATATATCTATTTGAACTATTTCATCTATAGCTGTCAAGGTCAGAATATCTAAATAGTTGGATATGTAGATAGTATGGAAAGTTTGTTATACTTTTGTATAATATCTTGACATAATTTCACTCGATAAAAAAAGGCATGGATATTTTTAAAGAATTTCCAATTCTATACACGTGGTAGAAGCTACCAGTTAAGCATAGTGCGAGGAAGCCCATCATGCTACAACTTATAAATTTAATAAAATCTTTTATGATATGCCGTGTGCTGCAGGTGCATAACCAATCGCGACGAACGTGTAGCCTATTTTCGAGTATAATAAACATACATATTATTATATAGGTACAGCGGGTATGTATATACCTACAGAGGACGCTGAGTTTTCGTGAGCTGTACGTGCGTGTGTGTATTATTACGTTATGCGGTTGCCGTTCGTCGTGTCGCGCCGTCTATATCTGTCCTTCGGACACATGTATATGTACGCACGTATAGGTACCTCTCTATACTTAGGCAGTATACAAGATACTAATATACCTATATATTAGACAGTACACGACGACAACGACGAACAGAGCACCAGAGAGGTATTGTGAGTATAATGTATGTTTTGAGGCAGTGGCGTCATTTGTGGGATGCAAGGATGTGCAAATGTATCCCATGAATTTTTTAACACAGTTTGTGTAGATAATTTCATAAAATTATAGTATACAAAAAATAACAATAATTTTGTAATTATTTTTGATTTGTCACAATATTTTATGGATCGCACCCATACAACATGAACTAGTTCATCGAAACGTTGAATGATCGAAATGAACCGATTGTTATATTACTTTAGACTTTCAATTTTGGTTTTGTATTCCCCATGAAAAATGAAATGACGCTCCTGTTTTGAGGTACCGTCCTATTGAATTTTCTATAATATGTTTAGATGTAACTAAATTCTATATGCAGTTTTTCTATTTAATAATAATCGGATTTTGATTAGTAAATGCTTTTGTGGACCTATTTTAAAGCCCCGGCTACCGGACTTAGACTTCTTTCAATTATTAAAGCTTAAATTCAGGTGATTTGGGGTTGAAATTAAGATCCTATTTCCTATGTACCTACATGTAGTATATAATATACTTATATATCTATTTGAACTATTTCATCTATAGCTGTCAAGGTCAGAATATCTAAATAGTTGGATATGTAGATAGTATGGAAAGTTTGTTATACTTTTGTATAATATCTTGACATAATTTCACTCGATAAAAAAAGGCATGGATATTTTTAAAGAATTTCCAATTCTATACACGTGGTAGAAGCTACCAGTTAAGCATAGTGCGAGGAAGCCCATCATGCTACAACTTATAAATTTAATAAAATCTTTTATGATATGCCGTGTGCTGCAGGTGCATAACCAATCGCGACGAACGTGTAGCCTATTTTCGAGTATAATAAACATACATATTATTATATAGGTACAGCGGGTATGTATATACCTACAGAGGACGCTGAGTTTTCGTGAGCTGTACGTGCGTGTGTGTATTATTACGTTATGCGGTTGCCGTTCGTCGTGTCGCGCCGTCTATATCTGTCCTTCGGACACATGTATATGTACGCACGTATAGGTACCTCTCTATACTTAGGCAGTATACAAGATACTAATATACCTATATACTAGACAGTACACGACGAACAGAGCACCAGAGAGGTATTGTGAGTATAATATCATATAGGTACTGCGTGTTGGTATAAACGTCACTTTTCGTTAAAAGATTCTCTTTTGACATGCATGACTGACAATTCGACGTATCGTGCCTACGACGACGGCTATCCTCTCTCTCTCCCTCTCTGCAGTCCGTCTCTCTCGTATATTTTATTATGATTCTATAAAGATTTCGAGTTGCGGGGACAACGACGACGACGACGACGACTAAATACGCGACGACGTGTCTGTCTTCTATACAGACGATGAGACACCGTGGGATAAAAATAAAATAAAAATTCTATGTACAAAACTCGGCACGCATAATCATAATAATAAATATCATATTATTATATTATAATGATGTAGGACAATAGGGAGGTACCTATTATATATATAGAAATATTTTTAAACGGATTTCACAAATGGGGAGGAAAAAAAGTTTACTTTAAAAGCTCATATTGTATATTGTATATTATATATTATAATAAACCTATATAGTTACTATAATATACTTATGGCTACTTATACTTGGTATAAATTATAATATTAAAAATATATCCTGCACAAAGGTACTCACTTATATTGTGGGTCTGTGTGACCGGGAAGGACATGTGAAACGGATGTGCCAAATGGTTTTGCGGGTTCAACGGCGACGTGCTCCGGTTGGCGGACGTCGCGTACATTGGCTGTTGCTGGCCGGCCGCGGACGAGTTGCCGGTGGCGTTGGACGACTGGACGGGCAAACCGGCCACGGGTGGCCGGGCGGCCAACGGGTCCACAGCTCCACCGCCGCCACCACCGGTTGTAGTGGTGCAGGTGGCGGTGGTGGTCGTCTCGTCCGGGTAGAACTGCAGGCCAAACGTGGTGGCCAGCGACGACGTGGCCATGTGGCCGCCGTGGTGCTGTGGACCGCCGACGGCCGTCGTGCGGATCCGGCAACCCCTGGCATAAGGCGGCTGGTGCACCGCCCCGGCGGCGTCCTGACCCACTGGCGTCGTGATGGCTGTGGTCAACCGGTGCCGGGAATGATCAATGCGCGGCCGTCCGCCGGGCGACGGTTGGCGGTGATGCAGCCCGCCGCGACGTCGTTCCGTCCGCCGCAACTGCCGACGACGATCCTCTGCTACGGCGAAGGCGGCGGCAGCGGCGGCGGCCGGTAGGGCTGCTAGCACGGTAATAGCGCGGTGACGACGGCGACCACCTGCAGACGATGCGACGTATCATACGCGGCGCACACAACAGATTTGTTACTTCTCACGTTTCGTATATATTATAGTACAGTATAGGCACCTTGTGCGTGTAAAACGATCGATGGCGGCGACGATAACAACGATGACACACCCGAGTGTATATACCGACGACGGACACGTGTAGGCGATCGCGAGTAAAAAATATAATCCCCGCGAAAGGACAATATTATAATATGTTTAGACACGACGATGACGTATACGACAACGATTATTATACGCGGTAAAAAATATAATAGTTAAAAATAAAGTAATCGAGCGGATGGATTATATTATGCACAGTCAGTAATGATAATATACGTATTTTTTTATTAATTTTATTCGCGCGCGCGTTCGCCGAACTCAACAGCAGCGGCTAGTAGCACCAGCAGCGGCAGCGAGAACAGCAGCAATAGTCGACCGATGCGAAAAGCCGGAAACCGAACACTGTCGCGGTGTGCCGTGCTCGGAGCGGCGGTTCGCGTATGTGCCGCCGCCTGGGTTCGGTCGCGGCGGCGCAGCGTCTATGGTGGTGGTGGTGGCCGCCACGGCGGTGGGACGGTGGGAGGCGCGGCCGTGCGGCAAGGTAGCGCGGCCACCGTTGGTCGGCACGGGAGTCGCGACGCCTCTCGGTCGGCCCGCCTTCTCCTCCAGACTCAGCGGCGTGCGGTGGCACCGCCGCGGTCGTCACGGCGACGGCGGCGGCCGGTGACGAAGACCCCATCGCCGCCGCCGTTTTTTCCTCCTCCTCCCACCGCCTTATCATCGTTATCCTCCGGCTCATTCTCCTTCTCCTACTTCGTCTTCATCTTCTTCTTCGTTTTGTTTCGTTATTTTATTTTTTTTCGCTCAGTCTTTTTTCTCCCCTCCCCCAGCTGACAGTCCGTTCCACTCACCGCCGCGACAGCACTGCCGACGGACCGTTCGCGTCCGACTCTTTTAATATTTCCTCCGCACCGTGGCCAAAGACGCGTTTGCACACGTACCTGCAGTATAATATTGTAAAGTTATTATTATTATTTTGTTATTTTTCGGAACAATTTTTTTCTTCTGTGATGGGTATATACTGACAATTTCTATCGATGCAGCATTACCGAGATTCTAGTTAGATATTATTAGGTATATCATATTTTTATTTATACAAATGCCAATCGGTTACAGTATATAGGTAATATACCTATACCTATTTATGGCTGTATATAATAAAATGTGCGGTTTATCATAGTATATTATATAATATTATAAGTAGGTACCTATATAACCTTTCCAAGTTTATTTTATATAGGTACTTTATTTTATTTACACGGACCGCGTATATAAGCAAATAATATATTAAGGCGGCTCTTAGTGGCTATATTTAAGGGGAACAATTTAGGCAATTTCTAATCGTGTCGTCGCCGCCCGTAATCTATGTGTGAGTCGTAAATGATTATTAGTGTGACATTCGAAGAAATTCGAACTCGATAACAATAGATTTTATATCGCCCGGCTGCGGGCACCCGGTTCAATAGCACACGTACGCGCATGCACAAGTCAACGTAATCACTCTCGAAAAATATTTTGTACACTCACAACAGTGAAAAATGCTAATAAGCTGGCGAAAAATACACATACTTCTAGTAGTCCAATTTCAATTTTGAAAAATTATTTGAATTCGTCAGCCTCTTTTCTATGATTTGTAGGAAACCGATTTTGGATATTTTAGATAATTTACGTATATTACGGTTCCAAATGACTGCTTGATTTCTCAAATTTGACTTGCACTTTTAAGTGCTAACTAGACAAAAAGATGAAAAAGTTTTCCCTACAGATCATAGAAAAGAGGCTAACGAATCCAAATAAGCATTCAAAATTGAAATTGGACTACTAGAAGTATATGTATTTTTCGCCAGCTTATTGGTCTAAATGCATGAAAATCCAATCGTTTAGAGCCGCCTTAATATAATTACTATAGGTACTTTTTTGGAATAGTTTTTTCCCGACGTTGTTATAATCCGCGTATTCTTATATATTATATTGTGTGCATAATTTTATTGTATTAATTAATATATTTGATATAGGTACACCCGTTTATGCATAATATAATAATAATGGCGTCGACGATATAATATTATGTTGCTATCCGTCGTTACATCTACCTATATATAGCTGCTATTTATATTCGAGTGATGATGACCGTAGTCGTTGTATATAATAATTATACTAATAGGTACCAAAGTTTGTATACCATACATACATAATATATATATATATATATATAGGCGATTGCTTGTATAATGTATAATACACCTACATTTACAATTTTAAAATTAAAAATTTTGTTTCGTTAGCAGGTATTTATTATTAGATAGGTATATTCATAAACTAGTTATATGCTCCGATTTATTAAATAGACTATTTTCCTCCAGTCTCCACAAGTTCATTGACTATCCCCCTCTACCTCCAATATTTTCAAAGTATAGGTATACTTATAGCTTAGATTTTTAATTTGTTTATATAGATATCTATAATTGTTGGGCCAATAGTATTATTATATATGAACATGGACATGAAATTCGAAATAATTAAAAATGAAAAATCATTGTTACCCCATCATTGTTTAACTTATATAAATGAATACAAAACAAATGATTTGTGTTTAATTTTTTTTTGTTTTTGAAAATAATGAACATTGTAGAAAAATAGCTTCATTCAAATTTTCGTTATAATACCAAATAACCAAATAAACATTAGAAGATGGGTGTAATCCGTGCATTACTATATATATACAAGTCTACGTCTGAATAAATAGAAGGTTTGCAGGAAAGGTTATAACTTATAATAGTAATTTTTGTTACAGCTGCGTACTTTATCTGCTATCATATATGGATTTGTGGGTAAAGGGTCAACTAGCAAATTCTGAAAGTGAACATATGCAAATTCTCGCAAAAAAACTATTGGTGAAGGTTTTGAGTCGCTACGCCAAATGGGTGGGCCAACTTCATGCACGTTTCTATCATCTCTTTTTTTTTGGGGGGGGGGGGGGGTGGCACAGTATAGAAGTGCATTCACGAATATATAATGGGTATGTGTATTATCGATATTATTTTATATTTAATAAAAATCCCAATTACACTTCGTCATGATGCAACTGTCTACTCCAGCAGATCTCGATTCTGTATGTTACCTATATTGTTATTGTATATTCTATTATGTAGGTATCTACCTTTTATTATTTATATGTATACGTTCCTGTTAAATTTATTTATTAATATAGGATATCAATCCTGTATAATATATTATATCTAATGTAGGTATATCTACACATAAATAATATGAATGATTGTGATGATATATTCATATAACAAGTAAGCATATATATAGGTATACAGAGCATATATGGTGCACATTTCGCACAATTATAATTCACAACCAATGTTTACGTTTGTATCATATGAACATGTATACATAAATATATCTATACCTATGTATAATCGCAATAGTGCAGTGCATGTTATTTATTTAAGTATATAACGGACAACCAGCATAATATATTTTATATGATAATATTTTATTGGAATAAAATTATTTCGTGAAATTGAGTTTGAACATAATTTATTACATATTAAGTATATAGCCAATAGTTACACGACGGTGGGATGTTTATGTGTGAAGTGTGAACGTTCAGTGGTAAAATATATAGGTAATATGGAATTCGAAGATTTTTTTCTAGTTTAAATATTTGCTCTATCCGTAATTGCATGTATATATTTATGGTGTACCAGTGCAAAACGTATTATTATACAAATATTATACCAACGCAAGTTTGATTTATTCGACTAATTGTATAAATAAAAAAAAACTGTCATTTTCGATTATAATCTTCAGTCTTTATAAATTCTATTTTTATTAGGATTGCTGGTTTTGAAAGTGAAAATCAGTTCAATTAAATTAGGTAATAATTATATGTTCTTGACATCTTAAATCCTTATTTAGTATTCACAAATGTAAACATTTGTATTATAAATTATTATACTTGATACTAATTTAGGTATTTATTTTACACTATTGGTGTGTACTTAAATGTTTATCATGAGTCATGACGTACCTATAACTGTAGAGCTCAATATTATCCATGATATATATATCAGGGCCCAGGGATGGCCAAACCACAGCTCACGTCATAGAATCTAACATTACTAATATGGTAATAGCCAAAAGGTATAATAGCCTTTTCCTGCTCTTCACATTATTGTTCATAATATTGTGCGGCTCACAACTCTTTTCTCACTGGCCACCCTTGATATATATATATAATATAATACAGTATTTTAAACATATCGCATACATCCATAATACTATACCAGTATTATTTAATCATTGAGCTGTATATTATAATAGTTTAAAATACCTAAATATAATAAAAATAATAATAGGTATATAATTACCTATAGTATATTATTTATACAAAATTAATCTGTAAAAACATTTTTCTCTTACTTTAGAGTAGTTGTATTATGTAGCAGAATTTGGGTTGGTTTTCGGTTTAAAACAAAATAACGGTAGTTATTAGCTACCTATAGGTATAAAATGTCTGTGTAATTGCGGACGCCATACAGCAACTACTGCAGCAGTAGCGTGGGTGAAAATAAGAGTGAATATGGGGTGATTTTTAACCACCATATGCCGTTAAATACTTATATATATATACCATAAATGTAGGTACCTTCTGTACTCGTATAAATAGGGTTCCGACCTTAAACGTTAAACTTTTTAATACATAATATTATAATCGCCACATTTTACCTTCATATACTTATTATACGAGTTTATTGGATGGAACTCGAAAATATAGAACCCTCGACGAGTTTAATATCAATCATCGCGGGGAAGATGCCCCGCGGTTATCTTCAAAGGTCTCTCGACCGGATTCGCCAGAGGTTAGGGTTAGCGTGGGGGTTGGTGATGAGAATACGGTTCAGCCTACAGTCTACACTTAACTTATAACAATTATGTAGGTACCTATAACGTTTACGTTATGGTATATAGGCCATAATGTATAGCCGTATAGGGATACACAATGTATATATAATTGAAATTAGCAAATCAGATAAGTCATTAAATTGCACTGTACCTATTTCTGCATTTTGGTCATAACAAGAAAATACAATATATAGCTATAATCAACCTAATATTACCTGTATGTTTATCTGCCGGTTGTCACCCTATTATAGCGGCCTAGTTGCATTAATTTGCCTTATACATAGGTTATAAGTATATTAAATATTATGAATAGGTATCTGAATTGTATAAATTTAGGTTGATTACTGTTAATTCATCGAGCATGCTGTTTCCCGTTTTTCCTTGAACAGTGAAATTATTTAAATTATAACGTTTGGAATTTTTAAGTATAGGTACACAATATAAGGGTTAATAGACATATTATATTTATAAATAGGTACCTATAACTATATTTTTTTTAATACTTAATATAAATATTTCCTTTCTGAGGCATTTGTTCCCTTAAAGAGTTCAATATATTAATACATTTTAAATTTCATATACATTTATACTTAATGGTAAGGTAGGTATTTGAAGTTATACCGCTAACTATGAAAAAAATAAATATTTTTAAACAATCAAAAGAGTTTCAATTATATTTTGACATTTGTTCTTGTTTTGTAAAGGGACATGTTATAATAATAATATGCAACACGGTCCACGGGACAGCTATAGTTAACTGCA